GAGATGCTTTGAGAGAGATTCAAGCAATTCAGAGATTCAAGCCCCGGGGGCACGATATTGTGTGTGCTTGTCTTTCTGTGCAGTGCCCAGCACAATTACATCCCAACCACGACGGGTGCCTTTAGGCAGTCCCATAAGACAAACAGCATTTTGGGTTGGGATGGGTCAGCACAGTTCTGTTCTTCAGCCACTGTTGCTGGGGATCCTGACAGCAAAGTGTTTGCCTGTGAAAAAATTCCAGGATTTTTTTCAGGGTTGAGTCTTCATGTTAAAATTGAGCCCCAACCCTCACTCTTTATGTAGCGGGATGGACTGAATTATACACATGGGTGTTGTTAGCAACTGTTTTACTGGTGGGTTGTATTTTTCTGGTAGGTGCATGCTCCAGGCATACTGGCAGGATGTGTTTGGCTGTCCAATTCTGCATCCACAGACTTGTTCGGCTGTCCCAGGCTGGCTGTGCTTCACTGTTCTTACTGTTCCTGAGATGCTGTTGCATTTGGGTGCTGGGCGCCTCTTGTACTGGCATATCCCAGAGTGCAAGCTCTGCTCAAAATATGTCTTGGGGTTTTTTTTTGTTTCAGTGGACATGTATTGTTTGGTTTTTTTGGTTTTTTTTTTTTGTTTTGGTGGGCTCAATCCATCCATGAAACCTCTTCTGCCTCTGAGGGTTTCCCACCTGAGGTCTAGTGGGGAATCCTCTGTGCAGCCTCTTCAGACAGCTGGAGTCAGAGAAGTAGCGGAGGATGCAAGTGTTTCCTGAGTCCCTTCAGGACTGCAGCATCCAAGCAGCAGAAAATAAGACTTCATGCAACTCGCAGGCAGGTGATAGCCTCTGAACCAGGCACCAAAGGGTGGTCCAGCACCCGCCATCTTCCCAGCTTGACCTGAGCTGGTGGGGAACTTGAGAGGACCAAGCCTGCACTGCCTTCTTCTGGTGAGGAGCCATTACTTCCAGCATCTACTTCACCAGCCAAGACTGTAGGCACTTTAGAGGGATTTGTCCCTCCACGGGGTGGCACCTGCCCCTCAGGGGGTTCCTTTTATACAGTTACAGGGGTCTATATAAAGTGCTGCCAGCTGGAAAGTATTTTGAAGAGATTCCTCCCTGCTCTTCACTAAGGGTCATAAATTCAGCTGGTATTTGAGAGAATCTCAAATGTACTTCCTGGACTGTTTGCTGGGGGCTTTACATCCGCCAGAGGCCCCTTAAAATAAAAGGATTATTGGGAGTCAAGTGTTAGATTACCTGGTGCTTGTTAATTGAACTTCAGAGGCTTTAGCAAGCAACTGGCTCTAGCAGGGAGCAGCACTTTGGTATTAATGGTGTTATACAAATGAATATAATGTAACCTAACGTCATGCTTCCGCATCATGTCACGTCTCTGGGCTCAGGGCAGTGGTGAGTCCAGCTCACGAGCATACCGGATACGGGAAAAGGCAGGGCGGATGCGTGTGGAGAGAGAGGGAGAGGGACTGGGAATCAAGGCCCTCGGGATCTGAGGAAAGAGCGTTTTTTGGTGCTCAGAGCAGGTGACTGGTGTTCAGGCATCCCAAGTTCAGTTCCTATCTCCCTTTGGCTATCTGACCTTGGGATCTGATTTTGAGAAGAGTTAAGTTTAATGGAAGCAGTAAATGCTGAGACCATCTGAAAATCAAGCTCTTTCCTTCCTGCAGGGCTTGTTTCACCTAGACTTGCAAAAAGCTCGGAGATCCTACTCTGAAAGGTCACCAAAAGAAAGTAAAGGACTCTAACCATTGCTGCCATCAGTGCGCACCCACGGAAACCTGAACAGACCACAACTGTGAAGGCTCCAAGGCAGCAAGGCCCGGTGGAAACGAGAAACCTCATCAGCTATGAAAATTTCATCAGCTGGCGCTGTGGAAGCAAGAATCTGGAAGTGCAGAGCAGATGGGCAGCCTGGATTCTTGGAGCCATTGTCCTTCTGCTTGTTATCTGACTCCGGCACAGGGAGGATTTGCAGAATTTATGGGGGCACAAGTACCGAAAGCTTTCTTGAAATATCCCTGGCTGACGTGTGGCATGGTGCAGACGGCACTTGCTGGGTGTGCGGCAGACGTTTTTGCACAATATTCCCAAGGTCATGGAAGTGGGGTCCTGCTGAGCACCTGTCTTTTATTGTGTAAGAGAAGGGACCATTTGGGCAGAGTTTGCAGTGCTGCGAGCCTGGTACTACTTGAATGCGAATCTGATGGCTTTGTAAATGTAGTACATTGGGGAACATCTTCCAAATATTATCAGGACTTTTCTCGACCATGCAAATTTCCTCTGGACTAAGCTCCATTATTTACCATGTGAATATCAACTCAGGAGATGTTTGTATAAGAAACGATAATAGGGAAGGGGGGGGGTGAAGGTTGAGTAAGGCTATGCACCAGGCATGAGAGGCAATGGACAAAGTACCTGTGTGAGCTCAGAGCAGAATAAATGGGGTCAGCTGGTTCAAAACTAAAATGTATTGACTTCTTGAAGTCCCAAGGCTAGAAGAATAGAGTGGATGATTTCGCAAATAAAGACCAAAGCACATTACCTAAGTTGTGTCCAGGTTTGACCAGCTCTTGTCCACCTTTGACCAGTACACACTGTCCTCAGCCCCTCTCCTTTAAGAAGCAGGCTGTTGTCCTTGGGGGGTTTAGGTGGATTTTTCCATTCACTGCTCTCCCCCTTTCCCTCCTTCTCCACCTGGCCCCACGGATGGGGTTATACTTCCCTGTGATATGCCTCAGAGTGTTAGGGTGTTTCTCAGGAACCGAGGAATGTAACAAGGGGAAGGAGCTGATCCTGGACACTGCCTCCCGGTGAATTGTCCTGGCTGGCAAAGACATGAAGAGGGCAGATCACCTGCCGTTACCGTGAGCCCACTTGGGGGTCCTGAGGGCACCCACAGGCTCTAATTGCCATAACCAGCCTATACGACCGTTTTGCTGTCATCTTCATCAGCTCGGAGGTTGAGATGCCTCTTTTCAAGGTCTGTTCTGGTACGGGACATCTGCGTAACCTCGGGAGCAGCCGGTGAGGTGACCAAGGGCTGCAGCCCCGCTGCTCTCTCGGAGCCTCCAGAAGCAAACCGGAGCAGGAGCAGGCTCCGCATCCTTCCCCAGCCGGGTGAGAGGCCTCTGCCAGAGCCACGCAGCCCGAGGCAGCGCGCAGCCTGTCCCCGCGCCCCTGCAGACGCGCGAAGACATCTTGGCCCTGTCAGTTTCCGACTGGAGGGCACGCGGGTCCCAGTTCGTCGGACGACCCCCGTCCCATGCCCTCGGCGGTACTTTTTGAGCCGGCTTGTCTCATCAGGGAGATTTATAGAATCTGCGTGGCGCGGCCGTGTCCCCAGGCGTCCCCACGGGCAAAGGCCCGACGGGAGCCTCCTCTTGCTGGGGGGCCCGGGGAGCGCTCTCCACGGGGCCTGGCGGGGAAGGAGCCCGGCAAACCTTTCCCAGGCAAAGGCGGACCCGCCCGAAGGACCACCCGCCGCTTGCTACCATGGCCCCGGACCCCACCGGCCCGGCGAGGGCC